TGAGCTTTAGGTTTCTAAGAGATTTACCCTGAGAGCAAATGTGGCCTTCACCAGAAGAGATAATGAAGGTTATTGTTGGCTGGTCTCCCTAGTGCCAGAAGAGGGAGTTCTGGCTTACAAAGTAAGAAAAACAATTGAGTAGAAACAAATAGCCCCAGAGGTTATCTCAAACTCCTTGAAGTCCAGATTCATGAAACTGAGGCTCAGCCCAGACTTCCCAGGACCTGCCTATTCCCAGAGGTGATGTCTGGACTGTCCACCCCTCAGGGAAACTCACACTCACTCCCAGGGTGAGTCCTTACCCTAGAAGGCACTTCAACAAGATGGTCATTATCAGCATAGTACGTGGTCGCCAACATTTACACCACAAATACCCACAAAAATACAGATGGTTCCCAACTTAGGATGGTTCTTAATTGAAAACACATTTTCTACTTATATTTTTTAACTTACAATGGGCTTATCAGGACGTAGCCCCCACCATAAGTCAAAGATCATCTGTAGTGAAAAGATTCTTTCATTACTTTTGGGTCTTGAAAATCCCAAAGAATCCCTTTGAGGTACTGTGTCCATAGAAAATTCCCATCTTTAAGTCCCAGGAAATGTGCATTAAAACTCCAAAGGATGTCATCCTTATACCCGTGGCCAGCATTGCTACAAGTGAAATAGGCAGAACTTGTGTGACCCTAGAAAAACAGTACTGCTCAAAACAATTTCTTCTACACTCAGCTGCCCCAGGGCTAGAAAATCTACCCTTGGAGATGGGTTCCTTTTTGGGTGAGGCTTTGTTATTAGGCATAGAGTCCCCTTAGAATAATTCCAGGATTAGCACATCTGCAAGCCACCAACAATGAAATGTGAACTCACTTATCAGATGCCCACTGTGGGAGCACAAGTCTCTAGCAACTGGCCTGGGACAAGGTAGCAAGAGAGACCGGGAAAAGCATGAAGAGTGAGTTCATGCAATGCATAATTTTGCCTGGGACCAAAGAAAAACGGGCAGTGAAGTGATGAGCTTTAGGTTTCTAAGAGATTTACCCTGAGAGCAAATGTGGCCTTCACCAGAAGAGATAATGAAGGTTATTGTTGGCTGGTCTCCCTAGTGCGAGAAGAGTACTTGCAATTACACCTAATTTTGAATCAACCAAATTAGATGGTACAGGAGATTAATATAAAATTCTCCATAACTGACACGTTTCCATACACCCTACAGGCTAGAAGGCTTCAAGACAGTAATGCGTTTAATGCCAAATGCTCATGTTTCTAAGTCACTGTCTGGTCTTTTCCTCTGCCTCATCCCCCACTCTTAACAATAGCATCTTAATGACATGATTGCATTGAGGAGATTATTATTTTCTCCTGACATCTCCTTTATAAGTTCTTTCTGCATTCTAAGGAAAACCATTAGCAATGCCCCAGAAACAGATAAAACTTCAGAAGGCTTGAAACGACATTAAAAATTACATATTGAGTTTTTCAGAATAAGCAGTAATGTTCAGACACAACTTTGTACAGTAAGCAGGGCATTGTTAAAAGTAGGAGAAGGAAATCACAATTATCTTCCAAACCTGACTCCCATTGCATGAAAATGAAATTGGGATGGGACTAGAAACAAGAAACAAAACACTTGTGATGCTTTGGCAGATTTTTCACCATAAATGGCAAGAAGGAAAAGCAGACAAACACAATCTTAGATATTAGATTAGCAGCCAATAAAGTCCTCCCATCCTAGTACCAGACCATGGCTCCTATGACTAAATAAAGCACTGTTTGTGAAGCTTCAGTAATTGCTCTCTTTAAAAAAAAAAAAAAATAGTGGTAGGTTCACCGTTGATTAAAATTGCTCATTTTCAACACATCTGGCACTCTGGACTTCATAAACATGTTGAATATTCATCAGGTACCTCAGGTAATTGAGAGAAAAAATTGTAAAAGTGTCATGATAGCAAAATATAGACAAGCAGCAGACCTGATTGTGTAAGACCAGGGAAAACAGGACCTTCTTACCAGAGCCCACACTCCTGGAGACTCTTCTAACCAGAAGTAAACAAAGTATTCAAAGTGAAATGGCTTCTGGGAGTGGGATGCCCACCCCTCTAACCAGCCATGACATAAAATGCATGGGAGAAACTTCTTCCAACCCCTGGATCATCTGAAACCTCACCTCCCCAGGGAGACTCCTTGGTTCTGTAGTCCCCAGCCCCTCCCCTCAGGCGAAGGTCATGTGGGAGGACAGAGCCATGGGTCTAGATTATGGTATCAAGGGTGTGATCTTGTCTGAACACACCCAGCAAAAACATCTTTGTGTCTCCTGCCTGTGCAACAAGGGCTCTTCTTGTAGGTCAACTGTTAAATATCAAATGATATATTATCATTTGTTAAAACATCAAATGATATATTATGAACAATACTCCTGTGGTTGGTGGAATAATGGCCCCAAAGATAGGAGATTCTAATGTCTGGAATCTATAAAAGTCACCTTATTTGGTAAAAGGGACCTTACCGATATGATTAAGTTAAGGATCTTGAGATGGGGCATTATTCTGGATTATCTGGGTGGACCCTAAATGCAATCACAATTGTCCCTTAAAGAGAGAGGCAAAGGGAAATTTGATCAGAAGAGTAGACAATGTGACCACAGAGGATGGAGTGATGGATCCAGAAATCAAGGAATGCTGCCTGCCACCAACAAGTGAAAAAGGCAAGGGGCAGATTTTCCCCTAGAGCCTCTGGAGAGAGTACAGCCTTGCTGACAGCTTGATTTCGGCCCAGTGATACTGATTTCAGACTTCTGGCCTCTAGAATTGTGAGACAATAAATTTCTGTTGTTTTTAGCCACCAAGTTTTTAGTAATTTGCTGAAGCAATTACAGGAAACTGATGCAATACCCAAGCACTGGAGAAAATACAGAAAAATGGAGAATGTTAAGGATAACGAGGTGGACTGAATGATGTTCCCTTAAAATTCATATGTTGAAACCCTAACCCTCAGTGTGACTATGTTTGGAGCTAAAGCCTTTGAAGAAGTAATTAAGGCTGAATGAACTCATAAAGGTGGGACCCTAATTGGATAGGACTCATATGCTTATAAAAAGAGGAAGAGACATTAGGGATGTGCGCACACACAGAGGAAAGGCCATGGGAGGACACAGCAAGAAGGTGGCCATCTGCAAGCCAAAGAGAGAGGTCTCAGGAGAAACCAAACCTGCTGGCACCTTGACCTTGATCTTCAAAACTGTGAGAAAATTAGTTTCTGTTAAGTTACCCAGTTCCAGTTCCTGGTATTGGCAATTGCAGCCCTAACCAACTAATACAGAGAGTTAACAGGGAAGACCCCCTTGAAGAGTTAGGCTTTTTAAGGAGATAAGGCCAGGATGACCCCACTTCCCAGGTCCTTAGTCTTCCCTTAAGAAGGGGAGTTTACACTGACTTAGTGGTGCTCTGGA